GCCTCTAGACAAAGGAGTCATAGGCAACTTTAAAGCTCATTATGCATGGTAATTTATGGAAAAGATTGTCAGTTCTATGGAAGAGAACCCCAATAGAACATCATGAAAGTCTGGAAGAATTACACCATTGAAGATGCCATTGTTGCTACAGAAAAAGCTGCGAAAGCTATCAAGCCTTCAACAATAAATTCCTACTGGAAAAACTGTGTCTAGATGTTGTGTATGACCTTATAGGACTTACAACAGAGACAATCCAACAAATCATGAAAGAGATAATGGATATGGTAAAAATGATGTGTTGGAGGACGGTTCAAGATATGAATCTTGGAGAATCTTGGAGTTAATAGACAGCACACAAGAGGAATTGATGGAAGGAAACTTGATGGAGGTAAGTGGTTCCAAACCAGTACCAGGTGATGAGGAAGAAGATGTAGAAGTAATGCCAGAAAACAAACTGACATTAGACAATTTGGCAGAGGGGTTTCGATTATTCTAGAGTCATTTTGACTTATTTTATGACATAAATTATTTTGTGATATGGGCACAAAAATTAAAGAAAATGGTGGAAGAGTTGTTACCATATAGAAACATTTTTAGAGAAATTAAAAAACAATTGAACATAAGTTAGGAGGTATTTTCATAACCCAAGTGTACCTGCCTCTCTTGCCTCCCTTTCTACCTCCTCCACCTCTTCTACCTCAGTCAACTGAGACAGTAGGACCAACCCCTTTTCTTCCTGCCCCTCCTCAGTCTACTCAATGTGAAGATGAGGAAGATGAAGAGCTTTATGATGGTCCTCTTCCACTTAATAAATAGTAGATATACTTTTTCTTCTTTATAGTTTTAATAACATTTTTCTCTCTAGCTTACTTTATTGTGAGAATACAGTATATAATACATATACATAAAATACATGTTAATTGACTGCTTATGTTATCAGTAAGGCTTCCAGTCAACAGTAGGCTATTAATTAAGCTTTTGGGGGGTCAACATTTCTAAGTGGATTTTTTACTGTACCACCCCTAGCCCCTGCATTGTTCCATGGTCACTTATATATACATTTGGTCTTCATCCTTGTTTCCTGATATATAGCTCTTATAACTTTTGGAATCTCTAGAGTCATAGGAGCATCTAGTATACAAATAAGATGACCGGGGGCTGGTCACAGGACAAACCAAGGCATGATTAGAGGGTTTGGATTTTTGCCCACCCCTACAGCTTTAGGGGAGAGAATAAAGGCTGGAGGTTAAGTTGATCACTAGTGGCAGATAATTCAATCAATCGTGACTATATAATGAGGCTTCCATGAAACATGAAAACCTAGAAGGACTGGGTTCAGAGCTTCCAGATAGCTGAACAAGTGGAGGTTCCTGGGGGGGTGACACACCTAAAGAGGGCATGGAAGCTCTGCACCAGTTTTGTTGTTGTTGTTGTTGTTGTTGTTTTGTTTTGAGATAGACTCTCACTCCAAGCTGGAGTGCAGTAGCATGATCTCGGCTCACTGCAACCTCTGACTCCCAGGTTCAAGCAATTTTTGTGCCTCAGCCTCCCAAGTAGCTGGGATCACAGGTATGGCCACGCCCAGCCTGCACCTGTTCTTCAATGCTGTCCCCTCTACGTCTCTTCCATTTGTCTGATCACTGATATGTAACCTTGGTAATATTCTTTATAATAAACCAGTAAACATAAGCATTTCCCTGACATCTATGAGCTGCTCTAGCAAATTAAACTCAAAGAGAAGATCAGCTGGGTGTGATGGCTCACACCTGTAATCCCAGCACTTTGGGAGGCCAAGGCAGACGGATCACCTGAGATCAGGAGTTTGAGACCAGCCTGGCCAACATGTTGAAATCCCATCTCTACTAAAAACACAAAAATTAGCCAGGAGTGGTGGTGTACGCCTATACCCCAGCTACTCAGGAGGCTGAGGCAGGAGAATCGCTTGAACCCAGGAGGTAGAGGTTGCAGTGAGCCAAGACTGTGAATTGTGCTCCATCCTAAGTGACAAGAGCAAAACTCTGTCTCAAAACAAAACAAAAAACAAAATAAAAAACAATGATTGGGCACGCTGGCTCACGCCTATAATCTCAGCACTTTGGGAGGCCTAGGCAGGTGGATCATGAGGTCAGGAGTTGGAGACCAGCCTGGCCAACATGGTGAAATTCTGTCTCTACTAAAAAAAAAAAAAAAAAAAATTAGCCAGGTGTGGTGGCGGGCCCTTGTAATCCCAGTTACTTGGGAGGCTGAGGCAGTAGAATCGCTTGAAACTGGAAGGCACAGGTTGCAGTGAGCCGAGATCATGCTACTGCACTCCAGCCTGGGCAAAAGAGCGAAACTCCATCTCAAAAAAAAAGTAAAAAAGAAGACCGTGGGAACCTTGATTTATAGACAGTTGGTCAGAAGTATGGGTTCTACTACTTGTGACTGGTAGCTGAAGTAGTGTGTGGGGGCAGGAAGAGGACTGGGCCCTCAACCTGTGGGACCAGAAACTATATTGAGGTTGATAGAGTCAGAATTGAATAGAATTCGAGGACACCCAGCTGGTGTCCACTGCAGAATTAATGGCTGGAAAATTGCTTAGTGTGTGTGGGGAAAAAAATCCACACACATTTGGTCACAGAAGTGTTCTGTGTTGTGAGAGTATAGCAGGAGAATCTGAGTTTGTTTTCTTCTATATCCTTACACTCCTCTTTTCCCCCACCAAAGAAATAGTCAAAACATCTAGAGTATGTCTTTATAACTAGCATATCTAATAAAAAAGAAAAATATTGGTGATCAGTTGGTGTAGACATGGGCTGGAGAATCTTTGTTAATAGAGTTGGATGAAGATAAAACATGCTGCAGTAATACTAAAGAATAAGTATCTTCATGAGTATAAACAGAGGTAGGAGGCAATGCATTGGCATTAGCAGGGAGAGACATATTACGTAGGAGACAAGGCAAATAATTTCCAGGTAAGTAAAGAAAAATTATGATTGGGTCAGAACTGGTTTTTCTATTTATAATTTTGATAAAAAGCAACCAACAAACAAACAAACAAAAAATAATCTGGAGGTAATAGAGATCAATATTCAGATAACAAAGCCAGTATCATGGGAATACTTATAAAATACTAGATATCTTTAAAAAATAGACATTTAGCCACAGGTTAACTAAGAGCCTATTTTAAGAGTTTGTAAAATGACTACAGAACAAACATGAATAAAATTTTATGTTTTTTTATTTGCAAAAATAACTATGCAAATTTGTTTTAGGTTTCAGAGAATGACAAAAGGGAAAGTAGGAACCAAACTCTTTTGAAATGTTTTTATTTCTCTAAAAAAATCATTAAAATGAGTCAGAAGCATACAAATTTTACAGTCAACACAATCTGGAGTATTCTTGATAATAAAATACAAACAAACTCCACAATTCTTTCAAAATCTTCATTTTAATCACATCTATTCTAAATTTGTAAAACTATTTTAGACAACTTTTTCTGTCATCACTGTTGTTGAACAATTAATAAAAACCCACTGATGGTCTCCACAGGAAAAAAAATATATAAACACAATGTATTGCATATAATTTCAGAGCGATTACTTATTGTTTTGTATAAAACTTACTCTTTGATCCAAATTTAAGGGCTTCTAGTGTAGAAGAATGTTTCTAACTAAATAAAGTAGGACCTACAAATGGCTTTTGAAATTTGACTACTACAGAAAAAAAGGTAGTTTGTGCCTGGATGACACTGTAAACACGTAGACTTTTCTTGGGCCCTTGATGGGGGGGGGGATGGTAGTGGGAGGGGTGGAGAACATAGCTAGCAAGGTGTCTGTATTCATGTGCCAGAAAGGTCTCTGGAACTCTCTGCTCTTGTTTTTTCTTTACTCTCTCAACTAGCTTACTACTCATTCTCTGGGAGGCCCTGAATAGCACAAGAAGTAAAAACGAGACTTACCTAATAAATATATTCCTAATATACTCACTGTAGTAAACACAGCAAGAAAAGAAAATAACCCAACACGTTAAAGATTCTTACAAACTACATAAAACTAACTTACTTTTGTAAACAAATGAAGAGCCCTGTAAATATCAGGATATATTTATTTAACTGTTGCATATATGTGTTGAATAGTCTGAATAACCTAAAGTAATAGCCGCATTTTAAGACACTGTAAATTCCCGGCTTGCAATTATTTATTATAATCCTAAACGTCATCTTGAGAAGCTCCATGGTTGTATGATCACAAACATGTATGTTCTAATTGTCAGGCCTCAGAGCCCAAGCTAAGCCATCATATCCCCTGTGGCCTGAACATATACATTCGGATGGCCTGAAGCAACTAAAGATCCACAGAAGAAGTGAAAATAGCCAGGCCCTGCCTTAACTGATGACATTCCACCACTGTGACCTGTTCCTGCCCCACCCTAACTGATCAGCTGACTTTATGACAATATACCCTCCAGCCCTTGCGTTAATGGACTTTGTGATATTCCCCGGCCCTTAAGAAGGTACTTTGTAATATTCTCCCTGCCCTTGAGAATGTACTTTGTAAGATCCACCCCCTGCCCACAAAAAATTGCCCCTAACTCCACCGCCTATCCCAAACCTGTAAGAACTAATGACAATCCCACCACCCTTTGCTGACTCTCTTTTCGGACTCAGCCCACCTGCGCCCAGGTGATTAAAAAGCTTTATTGCTCACACAAAGCCTGTTTGGTGGTCTCTTCACACGGACATGTGTGACGCTAATCATATAATCAAACTTAATTTTCCCTAGTGAAAAATTAGAGTAAAACCAGCCATGAGTGATAGCCAAGTATCTTTTACACCAAGTTTATCAAAATAAGCTTTTAGGAGTGGAACAATTTTGATCAACTGTTTTAATATTTCAGAACTGCTTGCAACGGCGGCTACCATAAGTATGCATTTTTTAATGCATGCAACTTACAAGTGATAACTACCCAATGGAGCACTACAAATGTGGTCACATGGGTCTATTTTGCAAGTCACTTACCATATTGTGTATTCCATTCTCTTCTTGTTCAGATCTTGACATTGAGAGTTCTCTTCATCTCAGCAAGAGCTCCTGAAAAGTATTTTTAGATTATAAACATTGCATTTATGCATATACATACATTTCCCCTAAATAATGATCAATGTCTTTTAGATATTTTCAATATTTATTAAGAGATACAGGTCCAGAAACAATCAGCAACTTAGTAGATTATCTCTAAGCACACTTGATTTTTATTGAATGCTGTCAAGGCACCAAAATGTATGTATTCGCCTTTAAAAAGTGTTAAATTTGCATTTATTCTTTCATTCGCAGGGCTAACAGCTGGGTATTACTGTTGTTTTTGTTGTCGTTGCTTTAAGCAACTATCTGAGGTGTTAAGAGGTCCTAATTAAGTAAATTAAACAAACACAGCATTAAGTTTCAAAATCGAAGTGTTAGAACAGATACCTGTTTGATCTGCAGATAACTAATGAGAACAACAGTACATCACAAACACATTTGATGTTATTCCTGCCACAGCATACTTGGTTTGATAAAAAGCATCTCACTCAAGTAACTGCCCAATATATTGCTCTGAGAGACGGAGAGGGAATTAACGATTTCATTCTAGTTTTTCCTGCCCATGTTTTGCAAATAAATGAATATATGGATGGATGGGCTTTTGAAACGCCAGCGATCTGTGTTACAGTGTAGCATCATCATTCCTGGGAGGAGCACGCTGTTTGCAGGGCTGAATCACACAACACAACACAACACAACACAACAACAACAAACCAGGGATGAGTCATTTCAGGCCAATTCACAAATCATTATAGAAATAAGGTAATGACCGGCCAGGCGTGGTGGCTCATGCCTGTAATCCCAGCACTTTGGGAGGCTGAGGGGGGTGGATCACAAGGTCAGGAGATCGAGACCATTCTGGCTAACACAGTGAAACTCCGTCTCTACTGAAAATACAAAAAATTAGCCGGGCGTGGTGGCGAGCGCCTGTAGTCCCAGCTACTCAGGAGGCTGAGGCAGGAGAATGGCGGGAACCCGGGAGGCGGAGCTTGCAGTGAGCCGAGATCCGGCCACTGCACTCCAGCCTGGGCAACAGAAGGTAATGACCCAATGACTGACTTACGAGTTCCACAAAGATCACTTGAGAGACTTACATTTCGATGAGGAAAACAATACAGACATGTCTACAACTAATGATGAAACATGATGCAATGAAGTTAATTACATGAGAGTTCTTTCTTTCTGAATTGAACAGGGTAGTCATCACTGAGATAGAACTCAAGCTTTACCTACATGAAAAATTATCATGTTCAAACACAAAGTGAGAGAGGGAGAGAATAATCCAGATTAAAAGAATAATATGGGTTAGAAGGCAGAGGACAAGTGGGATGGGAGAACCTAAACACTGAATTTAACTTCAGCCCAAATCAGGGAGTGAGAGTAGGAGAAATACATTGATGTTTATAAGGGGAATTAATAATCTCAGTTTAGTGCCTGTTGAATCTGTAGTGCCTATGGGAAATTCAGAACAAAAAGTTCAGGATGAATATCCAAATTCAAAGTAAAGATTGAGTCAGTTGCATGAAGGTGATAACTGAAGATTTGGGAGCATTTGAGCATTCTCTAACCACAGCATGGTAGGAGAATAAACCTGTGTCATGCCTATATTTGAAAAGACAAGCAGCAAAGATAAGAATAGAAGATATGTTCGGAGAAGCAGCAAGGGAACCAGGAGATAATGTTTCTCAGATGTTACAAGAGGGTAAGAGTTTCCTCGAAAAAGAAAGTGGCCAGCATTGTCGATGATGCACATAAGTAGCAGATTTAGCTTAGAAAGTCCTTTGCACTTTTTGAGGGAGCAAGCAGTCTCATGAAGTGGTAGGGAAAGAAGTCAAATTGCAAATTGATTAGGGTAAATTGGTCAATGCAGGAATTGGTCAAAATGAGTAAGGAATTTAGTGAAAAAGCAGAGTCTGGAAACTTTTCGAGAGAGAAAGGCACATTGGAGAATGAAAGAAGGAAAGCAAGTGTGTCAAAGAATTAACACATCAGTTTAAAAGTTTAACATTTTAATGTGATTTCTCTGTGCTATTTATTAAAGAGGTACATCAATCAAGCCTGATTTTCCAACCAGGATAATTAATGGATAACTTGAAACAACTAAATTTCAACATCTCAAGTTGTCTAATACTACCTACCTAGTAGTCACTAAGAAAGAAAATGGATAAGGTGTGTGGTTTTTTAAAAGAAGACTATGATGATTAATTTTAGGTGTCAACTTTATTGGATTAAAGACTACCTGGAGAGCTAGTAAAGCATTAGTTCTGGGTGTGTCTAGCAGGATGTTTCCAAAGGAGATTACTGTGTGAATCAGTGGATTGGGTGGGGAAGATCCACCCTCAGTGTGGATGGACAAGGCAGAGGAAAGGTAAATTCTCATTCCCTCTCTCTCCTGGAGATAGGACACCCCTCTTCTCCTATCCTGGTGTCAGAGGTTTTCAAACCAGAGTGACTCCATCATGAGTGAGGGCTAGGAAAATGAGGCTGGGACTTGCTGGGCGGCATTCCCAGAAAGTTAGGTATTCCTAGCCTCTAGATGTTTACAGGCAAGGGAGCAGATTGATAATGTTTACTAAACAGACCCAGACTTAGGAGTGCCCTGATATCCTGTTATCTTCAGAAAAGACGCATTCCTAATTTTGCTTTAAATATCATAATATTGATTCTTGCAAAATATACTAATTAAGAAAATTAATCCTTTATCACAAACCCTTGTAGCAGAGCACATGTCCCCATGATCTTTTTTTATCCTATACATAAACGAGTATTGTCCCTAGTGCGGATGCGTTTCTCCTCTTACTTTCAGGAACACCCCACTCTATTTACGGAGTAGCCGTACTTTCACTGTTTTACTTTATTAATAAACTTGCTTTTGCTTTGCATGGCGGACTCGCCCTGAATTTCTTCTTGTACGAGATCCAAGAACCCTCTCTTGGGGTCTGGATCAGGACCCCTTTCCTATAACACTTGGACACCAAAAATTCCAGGCTCTCCAGCATTTGGACCCTGGTATTTGTACCAGAGGTTCCTCAGGTTTTCAGGACATCAGCCTCAGACTGAGAGTTGCACCCTCGACTTCGCTGGTTCTGAGGCTTGAAGACTTGCACTGAGCCATGTGACAGGCATCCCAGGATCTCTGGCCTGCGGATGGCCTGTGATAGGACTTCTCAGCCTCCATAATCACATGAGCCAACTCACCTAACAAATTACTTCTCATGTATCTATCTACATATGTATCTTATTGATTTTGTTTCTCTGGATAATGCTAATATAAATAACTTCACATTTTAAAAATATTTTTTGATAAAAGATGTATACTCATGTGAACAGAGGCTTACAAAGCTCTGAAACTCGATCTCATTATAAATCTTTCCAAAGACTATTATAGGACAAACCATCAGGAAAGGGGAAAATAAGATATTTCTGCCTTTTTATTTTTTGAGACTCTAAAACATGCATTTTTCTCACATGGAAAGTAATGGTGTAAGTCCACAAAGCATTTGGGAAACAAATGCTTTCCACCCAATTAATCTTCAGAAACAGTCCTAAGACTATTTTTCGAAGGATATAATGGCTGCTTACATAGTAGACAACCTGAAATTGATGTTCTACAAAATAACTGGATAGCGCTCTTGGTAAGTGTCAAATTCTTGATGCACAAAGAAAGATTGAAGAAATGTCAGGTTGGAGGCAAAGTGCCTGACAGCTACCTGCAATGTTGGATCAGGGATTGGATCCTAGACTGAGGAAATAAGTTCTCAGGGAGACAACTAAGGAAACTTAAGTAGGTCTATAGATTAGTTAATAGGATGGTTTCAATGTTAATCTTTTGTTTTCAATAACTGTTCCCTGATTATGTAAGATGTTAACCTTTAAGGAAGCTGCTTAAAAACTGTAAGGAAATTTCTGTACTACTTTTGAAACTTTTCATAAGTCTGAAATTATTTAAAAGCTTATTTTAAAGAATTCTAACTTAGGAATAAAATGAATGAAGAACAATTATCTGAAAAGAATAAGGAGAGCCAAAAGCCAAAATCAACAATGTAATTGCAGGTGTCATATTGCCATATTGCTTTGAAAATTGTTTTTTTTTTTGACCAGTTGAAAAATGGCCAAAACTAAGTGACAACAAGAAAACATACCAATAATGCCAGGATCCTCAAGAAATAAATTCTTTGTTTACATGTGAAGTAGCCAGTGTATATCTCAGTAGATAAATTAAAAACAAACAAACAAAAAAAAAAAAACCAAAAAAAACCCCTCAAAATGTGATTTTCAACCTGCATTTTCATGTGACTCACCTAATGAAAGAGAGATGGTCAAGGCCAATTTTTAGGTTGCCATGCCGTATGATTTTTGCATTTCGACTCCGTGAAAGACGCTAGTTATCATAAGCAAAACGCCGTCTGTGATTATGAAAATGTTGGTGGAATATTATTCGTGTTTCCCAGTAACAGTATTTCATAGAATCTGTTATGACAAAGAGGCAAGCAAAGTCCTGTTCAGACATAGAGGAAAGAGGAAACATTTCGATTACCTCCGCAAAGCCTGGACAAACAGCTGTCACCATGGTGAGAATGAGGAAAGGTGTGAGGGAGGAGGGGTCATTTGAAAGTAGTAAAGAATTATGAAAGGCACTGATTGAGGCATAAAGGAGAAGGACATTTTAGGAAGAGAAAAAGCCTAAGCATAGGCATAGGATGGAAAATGACAGGGTTGTTTTGATTATCTATTTCCAATGAGAGGTGGAGGAGCTCCAAATTTGGAATTTCACTGAGTGATAGGATGTGAGGAAAACACTTTGGAGTCTAAAGAGCCTTAGGGCTCCCAACAAATTATGTGTTGCAAATAAACACTAACCTCTCTCACATTTAAGACCAGTTATATTAAATGCTGCTTAATGCATTTCTGTCTCCAAATTCAGCAACATTCCCTAGAATCCAGTATATGAAATGTACGCTTTAGTTGCCATTTCCAAAGTAGTGCTGGCAAATTTCCAAGTGCAGAAC